CAGCGGATGGGTCCATCTCTCTAACACTTTGAGTGTTTCCAAAATCGATGTTTCTCCATCAGAGCATACTGTAGGTATCGTAAGTGATGTTGAAATACAGACTGCATAACTTTTACATCCTGGGTCTTACAAGACAAATACAAGATGAGGAGATATTAAATCTGTTGCAAAACCTGTACTTCCAGTTGAGGCCAGAATATTTTACAGTAACAAAATACTCCCGGAGAAGCCATTTTTATTTGCACATAGGCTGGAATAGAAACAGTATAGCTCTCAAAGACATTCTCTTCAGCTATGCCTGATTTCTTTTTGAAGAAGCAAAAGAAAACAGTCTTTCTGTAACTCTGTGGTCTTCTTCATTTCCAGTTTGTCGCCGCAGTAACACTGAAATTACTCCRGATTGCATGTGACAGTGGCCTGCAAGCAGTAGCTGTGCACTACCTCTGCCAGCAGCCTTCCACACCCAGGCAGAAAAATCCATGTATTTTCCTGACTGTGCTCCAAGTGTCAGACATAACCCCTTRCCTCTCACTGTCACTTTTGAACCACACTGCTGCAGCTCTAGTTGTTACTCCGGACTGAAACCACTGTATTGCTCACCTTTTTTTTTATTCTCTCAATATGGCAGATAAATAAAAAAAAAGGTTTCAGACAATTTTGATTTTTTGTGCACTTCTCTGGAGTATTTATGTTAATACACTGATTTTGGTCACATCACATGAATAAACTTTTATGTGGTAAAACATACTTTGATTTCCTATGCACAGTTAAATTTGGTAAGACTCTTGTGCAAACATGGAGTTGGTATTGAAAGATTTAACTAGGATCACACCGATAAAATAAAGACCATAAAATGAAGAAGTGTTCAAAACCTAAGGAACAACATGTAAAAAATCCTACTAATTTTCCATTTCTAATTTACATTAATTTTATTGGAAGTCAGTCGGCAAGCCATTGTATAAGCATGTTACGGTATTTCTTTTGCTGTTGTGARGAAAATTTAAATAATTTGACAATAACTTTTGTGTTAGAGCTATGTGTATTTAACTTTTAGATAAATGTTCTCTTAGGCTTCCCTGTGCAGAAATTAGAGGGCTAGGACATGTTCAGGTTATTTATTGTATGGTGTGAAGTATTGCATTCCTCTTTTACCTACGATTGGGCTCAGATGCCRTCAGCTTTGCAATCAAATAGAGAACATACTTGTGTCACTTAGAAGCAACAAAGAAAAGCCACTCCCATTCCTTCTTACCTCTATTTTTTTGTTTTTGAACTGCAAATTGGTATTTCATGAACATCATATCCTAAAGCTCTGAGCTTCAGTATTAAAAAATGGGATGAGGTAGTACATACAAACCCTAAATGTGATTTTAAAAACATTTAACAGCTTCAGTTTGAATTACTAATCCTAAATGTCTGAAAGTTTGACTCATTTTATCTGTTTATCAAATTGATTTTCTCAGTACTGACAAATCCTGTTGGGAGCAGAAAGCCAGTATGCACTAAATTCCCCCCAAAAAAGGACTTCAGACAACGTATTGACTGACTTTGCATTGCATAAAACAAATTCTGAAAATTGTTGGTGAAGTTTCGATCAGCTCAGCCATAATTTGATGATTATTTACATCACGAGGACTAACTGTGACCAACAAGAAAACACCATATACATTATTTCAGCTACTCTCAGAGTGAACACATCATATTAATGCTCTCTGCCTTGTATTTACTATCAATGCATATTCAGGATTTAATTTGAGCCTGTAAATGCTTCTCTGCTTGAAAAACAGTCTCACTCCCCTTAAAATTCAGGAGGCTCAGATTACTCAGTGCATCTGAGCCCCCACTTTTATAAGAAACAGATGTCCATGATGATGGGTGTTCCTGGCAAGCTTTAAGAGGTCTGTGCACTTTTACAGTAGTTCACCTCTACACTGTGGGAGGTTTCCATTAGCAATTACCATGGGAATAGCCTTTTTCTACTTTGAATTTGGCAATATTCTGAATACAGCAGATATACAGTATCTCAATACAGTATTCTTGGGAAGGAGACAGATACAGTAAAGGCAAACAGAAATTACTCCAGGAAAGTGAAATTCTCTCATTCATATTTCATATTATCCTTCTCTAAAATTAGGCAGCTAATTTAAGTAGATGATGAACCTTTACTGAGTTCCATAAATTCTGTATCAGTCAATTAGTCAAACCAGAAAGGATCAGAAAGACACTGAAAATACTCCTACAAGTCATAAAATATACCAAAGGCCATTTTTAAAAGTATTTAAAGATACAGTGTCTGGAAAAGTCTTTAGGGGCTGAAAAGTACTTGATGGGTTTTCTAGTAGGTATTATTGAGGKTTTTTGGCTTTTAATTGTGGAATGTTCATCCTTCACCATTATATTTTAATTTCACCTATTATTAAATATAATAAATGAAACATCAGAAGACACTTACACCTCGTTGTCTCCTATTTCAGCTATGTGAATGTATTCTGGAATTTGTGAAACCATACAGGATTTTTTATATAACTACATCAGAGATTCAGAATCAAGTTCTACATTTTGACAACATTAGAAATAAAAATATATTTAAATGATAAGGAAAAGGCAACTTTGCCACCTCCAGCAAGTGATCTTCAAAAAATAAGCATTAGACAAATTTCTAAGACATATATACATCATTAAATGATGAAGACTAATGTGAAACTTACATGTGAGGAATTATATCCCCACAAATCATGGGTCACACAAGAAGGAAGTCTGAATGTAAATGCCTTCTTCAGGTTGCCCACAGGCCCTTGTGTTTGCACAATTCAATCAGTGTTCTCTGGATCCTTTTCTCCTCCCTGTAGCAGCATCTGCAGAGAACACTGCTGCCTGTACACTGCATGCARACTCTGTCACTGCATGCTCATGGTTTGCTGTCCTGGGATTGAGTAAAARAGTACTCCTCACAAGACTTCCTTCACAAACAAGGACATTAAGAAGCTATTCGATAACATCACACCAATCTAACATGGCTTTTTTTCAAAATGAAAGGATATGCATTATGAAAAAATAGGTATCAGAAGAGAAGCCTGTTTTCTCTGCTTGGTAGCAATCAAGCTGGATAAAATTGTGACAATCTGRTTACAATAAAAGCCATTGGGTGTACACTGTAAGTGGGGTAGTCAKGGGTTGCTCTTCATGATAGCAAAATCTTGGAAATTACCAAGACAGAGCAACTCTAAGTTCTAATTCTGGGAATAGGAATAACAATTGAGACACTCCCAGAGTCAAAGTGACTGCTGGTATTTTTAAGCTTGTTCATTTGGATCTCCTAAGAACAATGACCCGAAGTAAGCATTTTTCCCTATCTCACGATTAATAAGCCAAGAAATTGAAAAGATGCATGCAAATTTAATTACTTTAGTATAATCATACTGCTATTACAGCAAAATATTTATTCAATCACAGGGCATCTTACAGAAATCATTGTAGTCTGCTAGTCATCTGAGAACTGCACTGTTACAGTAACAGCTTAATAACTTTGAAGCTTCTGGTCTTTGTTAAGAATTTCTTAATAGGCATGTGAAATACAGGYAGTTACAGATCTCAGTTAAATGGTCAGAGACAGACAACAATTATAAATAAATAAATGAATAGTTCATAATATTATTTGAAGTGTTGTGCAGAGGAACTAAAATTTCATGCAGACTGGGAGACTYAGTACTTTCTGAGAATTTATTTAAAGGTTTGATTGACATAAAAAATATGAAGGGGGCACACATCGTGCTCTGCTGAAGCCACCGGGTGGAGCAGCTCTCACAGGAGCAGCATATGCTTCGCCATTGCACAGGAGAACTTCAACTCTGGTCGGCATCATCACTGCATTTGATCCTTCCAGAGCTTTAAAAATGTTGCTAGGTCAGATATATGTACATAATGGCAAGAATATTTGCTATCTAAGAGCATTTCCACAATTTTCCACAATCTTGCCACTCTTCTCAGCCCCAGTGAGGCCACATTTGAAGCACCATGTCTCGTTCTAGGCTTCACACAGCAAGAGTTCCTTTCCTTCACCCAGCAAACGGTGACAAAGATGACTGAAGTATCTCTCTCATCTACAAGGAATGGCAGAGGGAGCTGGGCCTGTTCAGCCTCGAGAAGAAAGGACATCATAAATGTCTATCAGTATCTGAAGGGAAGGGGTCAAGAGGCTGGATCCAGGCTCTTCTTGATTGGTGAGCAATGGAGAAAGAGGCAACAGGCAGAAACTGAAACTCATGAGGTTCCACTCAAACATTTTGAAGAATTTGCTTACTGTGCACATGACCAAGCCCTGGAACAGGCTGCCCAGAGTGATTGTGGAACCTCCCTCTTTGGAGATCCTCACAAGCTGCTTGGACAGAATCCTAATATGCTCTAGGGAACCCTGCTTGAGCCAGGGTGTTGGACTAGATGACCAGATCAGTGGTCCTTCCTAGCCTTACTCACCCAGTAATTCAGTGATTTAAAAGTATGACTGGATCAATGCTTTAACATATACTAAATTAGAATTAGTCATGGCATGGCTGATGCCTTAATTAAATTTTAAAGGTAGACCTTTATCACCAAAGAATAATACAGAATTCAACAGGCATCAATGTACACTTTAACACACACTGCAGAAATTATTGCTTCTGTTAAATTCGTCTGTGTTGCTGCGGCTGCATGAATATATGCTACTGTTGCTGCGGTGAATACCGCGCTAAGAACCATTGGGCAGGAAACGCCCAAGCACACAGAAAAGCCTGAGACAAAGAGGGTTAGAGAGRAGAGCAGGTAACTTCAGCACAAGGAGCGATCGCGGGGAAAGAGGGGGACATGACAGGCGTGTCCCGGTTCCACAGAAGGGGAGCGGATGCTGGTCCCGGGCTGCGAGCGGGGCAGCGGCGCCGGGCAGGAGGAGGCGCTGCGATCGCGTTCCGCACGGCCGCGCTGGAGCCGCCCCACGCCCGCAGCCCGCGGGCGGGCCCGCACCGCCTCCCGCCGTGGAGGCCGAGGGCGGGCCGGGCGGGGCGCAGGAGGGCAGGAGGGCACCGGGGCAGCGACGGAGCAGGGTGCCGCCATGGTGSTGGTGGTGGTGATGGGCGTCAGCGGCTCAGGGAAGTAGGTACCGGGAAGGGGGCGGGCGGCGGCGGCGCTGCGGCGGAGCCCGGGGCGGGGTCTCGGCGCTGCCGGAGCGCGGCGGTGCGAGTGAGGTGCCGTGGGGGTGCGTAACCTGCCCTTTGTGCTTCCCCGCAGGACCACGGTCGGGTCGCGGCTGGCAGCCAAGGTAGGAACGTGTGGGAGCCGCCGCCTCGGAGGCGTGCCGGGGCGGGCAGGCACCTCCCTGCGCCGGGCCGGCGGCCTTCGCCCGGGCTGCCGGGCCCCCGAGCCGGGTTGGGCTGACGCGGTGTCCCCGATAGACTTCAGCCTAGTGCCGTGATGCAACAGCTGTTGCTGCTACCAAGCTCAGTATTTCTTTGCTAATCAGCATGGTATAAACGGTGTGGTGCAAGAAGCCTGTCATCTCTTGGGTGTCACAAATTCTGTGATAATTGTTACCTCACCTATCTAGCTGAATGATCCATAATGATTTTTTTTTCTTAGTTGGGATGGAAATTCTACGATGCAGACGATTATCATCCTCTAGAGAATAAAAAGAAAATGGCAGAAGGGATACCACTSAACGATGAGGTACCTTGAATATGCCCTGAAAGAAATGTAATCCAAAAACATTTATCTCTGTCACTTCATGCACATCTTGTTAAAGTAGATTGTGATGTACTAAGTAGACTAGTCTGACTGTAATTACAGGTCTGCATTTGGTAAGATGAGGGAGGCTTCTTGTATCAAAAGGATTGCACATAAAAGAGTTGTTTATGAAATGCTTGGCAGTTTGCAAGGGGTATCCTGCTGTTTCAGAATTTGTAAGAAATCTCCCCCTCTACAATCCACACACTGAGTTGCAGTTTTGGATTAGAATAATAGAATCTTAGAATATCCTGAWTTGAAAGGTACCCACAAGAAACACAGAATCCATCAAGTGGCCCTGCACAAGAAAACTCCAAAAATTTGCTACTCTTCTACATCACCTTTCATGATTTATCCCCAGTTCCTGGCTAACTTGGAAGGTCCCAGATGATTGGAGGCTGGCCAATATTATGCCCATCTAAGGAAGGGTTGGAAGGAGGATCCAGGGTGCCACAGCCCTGCAAATCCGGTTCAGTGTTAGGGAGGTTATGGAACAGATTATCTTGAGTACAATCACATGGCATGTGCAGGACAACCAGATGATCAGGCCCAGTGAGCAGAAGTTTGGGAAAGCAGGTCTTGTTTGCACAACTGACTTCCTTCTATATCCAGGTGAATTACCATCTTTCATTGGCCTTCCTTTGGATGCTCGCTAATATATTGTTCTTATTTTGTGATGCCCAAATTGCACACGGGACTTGGAGTGAGGCCACCCCAGTGTAGAGCAGAGTGAGACAATCCCATCCCTTGGCTGGTGACACTTGAGGACATAATACCTTAATGGTACAGCTTCAAAAAAAGATTTTTCCATTTGTCATCAATTATGACAGTTGTTTTATAGTTAAAGCCATTTTTCCTGTACAGAGTCAGCAAGAATTTAAAAAGTTCATGTCCACTACTTCTAGAGAAATATACACTTATGAATATAGACAAAAACTTTTAAATAAATAATATAAACAATGTTGGTAAACACATGAAATCAATCTAAAAGCATACAAGCTTAGAAGCAGAACAAGATGCAGTTATAGCATCTTTTTCAAAAGACTTTAAGGATTTAGCAGAAATCCTTACATTTAGAAAAAGTTGGCAAAGCTCCTACTTCTTTTCTTTTCCCCAAGGCTTCCCCCCCCCCCCCCCTTTTTTTTTAGCCCCTTACATCTTTTGGGAGAAGTCCTTAGCCAATTTAGACTGAAAACAAATATTCTGGATTCTGGTTAAAAACTTGATCTTTCACCACTGGTTGGAAGCCTRTATGTTGTCTGAAGCAGCACTGCACACTTGAATGACTAAACCTTTGGTGTATGGTGCTCAGCAAGAGGAAAGCATCTCTTCTGAAAAATGAGAGGTACAAAATTGTAAAGGTCTTCTTGAATGCCAAGGGGAAGGTATTCTGTAATGACAGTAACAAAAAACGTGTGTTTATTTATCCCTGTTATCATTGGTTGTGATCACCCAGCAGTAACAGCATTGAACGATTAAATGGGAACAGTTGTTTAGTGCTCCTTAGGCATGACTGAAGTTTGCAGCAGCTTAAAATTTCAGATTAAATGAGCACCTGATGAATCATTTACATTGTGTTTGCCTAAGTACTGGGCAAAAGTTTTGAGAAATTGTGGCTATTACATTTATTTGTATTTGCTACTGGCATAATTATTGCAAATAACTAAATTTAGATCTGCATGTTCCTGAAAGCTTCAGCTTGGGGGTGTGGGGGTGTGTGCATAACACTGTATAAGGGAAAAGAAATAACAACTCAAGCTGTGCATTTAAATTGTATAATAGAAGCAAGAGATAAGTTGACTGTCCTTCAGAGGTTTATAAGGTGCATGCTACACTTGCATACATACTACTTCCATCATATACCTGTAATGTAAAAAGTACTATCCACTAAAAGTACTATTACCATCTTTCTGATAATATGGCTAGCACTTCTTACTAGCCATCAGGCAGTAGTAGTGAATCTGTATAGGAAGAAAGAGATGCAAAACTGAAGTAGCTGTACAGGTTAATGCTAATTTTTATCTCTCAAATATCTGAGATGCTAGGAGCAATTGTTTCAAAATAATTAACTAACTTGTTTTCTTTCTAGGACAGGATTCCTTGGCTTTGTGCATTGCATGATATACTAAGGAGGTAAGCAAATACCTAGTTTTAAAAAGTTTAGCTAAAGACAGAAGTATCCGAAGTGTTTTTCCCCATTGCATTGCAGAGCAGAAATGTGATAAAGAAATTCTGTAGGTAATGAAGTCATTCTATTTTTCATCTGTCATAATTGCTGAGCGTGAGCTAATTCCTGAGAAATAAAATGGGAAATCGTTGCCAATGATAGTTTTTTTCTACTATCTGTGTAAAAATACTTTCAAGGGTCCAGTTCATTAAATAAGCCTTACATTAGCAACTTACAAAGAACTTAACTACAAAATACCAATAATAACAGTAGGATAAAATACTGTTATTTTAAATAAGAGTGTCAAGTTTGTTTGCYATGGCTTGAGTTTGCTTGAGTGTACTCTGCTAATTTGCAGATGGTACCAAAATGGGAGGAGTAACTGATACAGAGGGACCTTGAAAGGCTGTTGAAATGGACTGGTAGGAACCTTTTAAAAAGTGTGAAATCTTGCCCCTGGGAAGGAACAACCCCAGGCATGGTATGGACACTGAGGGGCACTCAGCTGGAAGGCTGAGGGAAAGCAGAAAATAATCTGAGGGAGACGTGGTCAACAACCCAAGTAGGACAYATGCCAGAAATGTGCTCTTCTGGCAAGGTGGGCCAGCTAAATCCTGGCTATATTCAACCAAGTATTGCCAGCAGGAGGTGATCTTTCCCCTCTCCATTTGCACGGTGAGGYCACACCTGGAGTGCTGTGTCAGTTCAGGGCTCCTCATCATGGGAGAGGTATGGACATACTAGGGAGCATCCAATGATAATGAAGGGACTGGAGTGTATCCCAAACGAGGAAAGGTTGGGAGGGCAGGGACTGTTTAGCTAGGCTTTACACTTGCTTATGCACATTAGGCGAGTGTACCTCACTGGAGCATGGATTAATTCACTAAGAAGTTTGTCTGGATTGATTAGCTGGATCCATTGCTTTATGTTACATGACAGCCCAGTACGACTGCCCAGTTCTGGAAACTTTACAGAATCAACTCTACTTCAAAAGAGCCTAAGGCCAGTGTTTAGTTTTAAGTACTTCTTAGCCAGTACTCTCACTGGCTTACCTAGCTGATAATGGTAGGTATTAAAAATCCTTGCTTCCCTTTGAACCAAAATCTGATGACCATAAAATGATTTTTGCATAGGTTCACGGATTATTTTATTATAGAATACATCTTCTTAGGCAGGAATTTTATTCGCTCTTCATGGAGAAGATTAATTCTGGATTTGGTTTTTGGTGGAAAAGACACACAGAGTTTAATGCTTTATTTTAAGAAACCTTGTCAGTAGAAAATACGTGTGCAAAGTATTACCTTTAGAGAAAACAGTACAGTAATTTTATGGATAATGGACAGAGGTTTCTGTGGATATTTAGTTCCTGTGCTCACCAATTAAGGAAATGATCCTAACACTTTGTTGTGCTACAATTGAATCTAATTTAGGAAAGAATGGTGCCTAATAGACAAGGTCCCTAAGACTGAGATTTTACCAGAAGGTTGACTAGTCTGACCTCACTTTCAAATTACATCTTTACCTGGATGAGACATTTGGTTTCAAATCACTCAAATACCACTGTCAAAATACCACTGCTCCCATGGCTGTCCTCCTTGAGGAACTAGGATTTTTTTTACCTTGTTCAGCAGAATTAATAAGCCATTTTGTTATACCACATGTGAATATGTAAAGGTTTTTGCTTTTTTGTTTTTTTGGGTTTTTTTTTTTTTTTGTTTTTTTTTTTTTTATAGAGAAGACACATCAAAACAAGATGCAGTTCTGGCCTGTTCTGCACTGAAGAAGATGTATAGGCGCGTGTTAATTAGTGGAGCATCTGCAATTGAAAGCAACCAGCCAGAGCAACCAGGAGAAAACCCAGCACTGAAGATCCTCTTTGTTCATTTGGACGGGCCTATGGACATCATTGCTGGCCGCCTGGAGAAGCGGAGAGGTCATTTCATGCCACCTGAACTTCTCAAGTCTCAATTTGATACTCTGGAGCCACCTAGTGCACCAGAAAACTTCATTACTATCAGTCTAGAAAAATCTCTCCCTGAAATATTGCTACAGATTGAGAATGCAATTCTTCAGAATGAGGCTTTGCTGGAGTAATTTTCTGAAAGACACATACAGAAATTCCCTGAAGGATATCAAGGCTATGAAACAGKGTTTTAATTATTGAATTGATTATTAAACCAGCTTATTTTTAAGAGCTGGTTTACTCCTTTTAGGTGTTTTATCATAGCTCTGTAAAAGACATATAAGATGTAATTTTCCAGAGCTGTTAACTTTTTAAACCCTTCATTCCATGAAGTTAAAATTCTCAGTAAAAGTCTCTTTCAAAAATCCTGGGAAGGGTCACAGAGAATAATTTATTAATTTTTACTCTGTCAGTCACTGAGATGGGCACATCTGCTGTTACAAGATCCAATGATTTAACAATRATTTGTTAAAAACAACATTTTTCTAGAAGAGGCAGGAACATGCAGGATGAAGTTCTGTACCTGACAGAACCCCTGTATCRTTCCTGGATTTTCATCAAGACCTCACCAGAGCACTGATGGCTTCATGAAAACTTTTCTGAACTCTTTACTGTATGCATTGACCACCAAGCTGAAAAATGTGAGAAAAAAAGGTAGTGGTGGTGATGCAATATACAAAATTTAATTGAATGGAAAGCTTTAGAAATAAAAGCAGAAGTGGGATCATGCTGGCTCTAAACTTGGATCTCTCACGTACAAAGCATACAYATTGCATTCAAGCATGAGTCAACAAGTGATTAAGTACTGAATGCAAGCTTGATAGACATTTCCTTCTTTTTGAAAACGCACTCTTTCAGTTAGACCTTTTCCTTCGCTTCCTGTTGCTCCTCAGTGCATGTCCACACAACTGCCATAAAGCTTTTAATCATACTATTCCTAATACATATATTTCACATCTTTTTGTGATCAGAAAATTCCAAATATCCAATCAGTCACCTAGCTCACAGAATTCAAGGTTAAAGGCCTCTTTTACTGCCAAAATTTTTCAAAAAGTACTTTATCTCACATTATACAAGACGTGCCTTTTCAGCTTAATGTTATAAAAACTTCAGATAATTTCTGTGAGATTTGAATCTTGTTTGAATGGAGACAATTTCATGTGCTGTCACACATTATTTTTAGTGTGTCGTGTAATTTTTTTTTTCCTGGGATAATGGATGAACTTCTGCAGAAGCACACCTCATGTTTGAAAGCATCTTTAGTGTCATTTTTACCTGGAGAAGTAGTTGAAAAACTACCTATTCATCTAGGTTCTCACTATGTATGAAAATAGTAAACTTTGCAGTTTACTACACAAACCACTGTGCTTAAATTACTGCAATAAATGGGCATTATCTTACTGAAAGCAGCTGTTTTTAGACACAGGATTTTAGGCATTAACCTAACCCAGAAGTGGTCTTTTCCTGTTTTATTTGTGACCTGAAGGGAAAATGGCAGGTAGTTAACCAGTTTCAGTCTGCTGCTGTCCACTACAGAGTGCTCCCACCTCAGTGTGTTTGTTCAAGAGCCAGGGTGACACAGGGGTAAAGTTAAATGCAAGAGCAAGGGATGTCTGTCTGCTTCTTAATACCCTCAAWTTTCAGAGACCCCTTCAAACCAAGTTATTTGTCAGAACCATACAAATTTAGGTGTGAAACTCAAAGACACAGCACCCTCTTGTGGCACCTCTGCTATTAACGAGGTCTACATCTTTTCCAATACATTTTTTTACAAAGATTTTTACTATTGTACTCAGTATTAAATACAGATTTATGCACTTTTTTCACACACAATAAAGCCAGACCACGACACTATATGGTGATGGATAAGCAGCTGCATTCTGTCACACACAGATACAATCAGACCTTTAGATAATTTTATTTTAAAGGGACATTTTGAAGTGTGAGTTCGGAGAAGGCCTGATTTTCAGATGTGATTGTCAGCATTTACTGAATGCTCACAAAGTGGCTGTCACCAACAGAAAATTGTACTCCATAGTTAAAAAAACATTCTGAGAATTATATAAGCAGCTTGGGTTTTGGAAGGCTTCTAAATAAAGTAGTATGTACTCACAGGCAGTTCATGCTTCTTCAGATTAGGTCAGGGTATTTGTCACTCTTTGCTTCTATGTTGGGAGTATTTCCTTCCCTTACCCTTTTAATATATTTGCATTTTGCTTTTACTTAAAAGACACTGCATAGAAAGTTGTTAATCAGTTGTTGTCTGTTAMCTGCTATTCTGATAGACAACAAAGCATCACTTCTGCTCACTTATATCCCGGGCATCACAAATTAAAAGACTAAGATGTGAATTATCCCAATACTAATCACGTAAAACTACTTGCATATTTTAATCAAGCTGTGCACATGTGCATTGGAAGAAAAAGGTACCAGAACAATCCCTGCCCTAACATAATCCTACAAAATTTACTTAATTTTTGTTTTGTGTTTTTTCATTGTGAAGGTTTGTTTTTTTGTTTTGTTTTAAACTAACATTGCTATTCTAGGGATGTCATATTCAGATTAGTTGGGAGGCTATAAATAGTTAGCACAGCTTACCTGGATGCAAGTGCACTGTATTTTGCAGTATATTTAGCAAATGCAGCAAAATCTGAGGAGGAAACACCTGGAGGTAGAAATTGCTTTCTCTGTCTCTAAGCACAAATTATCTATGCAAGGTACATGCACTATACGCSCTCAAGAATTTGTGCTAAGCACAGTTTGTAACAAGCTGTGTAAATACTTCCCCTACTACAGCATAAACATTTTTCAGTGGTAAAATGAGGAAATAAAAATTAAATRCTATCTATCCCAATGGCAGTATACATTAATACGTTAAACAAAGGAAGGGTAGAGTGTTACTAAACTGCACAAGCTATCTACACAGGCAAAGGAACAGACTAGCTGCCTGCCACCTCAGCTACAAATTGAAGGGGTTTTTTAAAATTTCATTATGCAGTGTATTTGGTTTGTGTGGCCAGGTTGTGGTGGGGAACAGAGCAGCCCTGACCCCCCTCAGGGGTCAGGGCACAGGGGTGCCTTCTGTAAGCAGCTGCTGGAAGCTTCCTCCACACCGTGGTCCAGCAGGCTCCAAGATGGATATGCTGCTGGCCAAGGCTCGACCAATGAGAAATGGTGGCAACACCTCCATGATAATAGATTTAAGAAGGGGAGGTGAAAGTGATTGCACAGGTGTAATTGTGGCCAGAGAACAGCAGGGTGAGAGCATGAGAGAGGAGCAGCGCTGCACACAACAAGGTCAGTGGAGAAGGAGGAAAAGGAGATGCTCCCAGCTCTGGAGCTGAGATTCCCCTACAGCCCAGGGTGCAGCCCATGGTGAGGCAGCTGTGCCCCTGCAGCCCTTGGAGATCCCTGGGAGTGCAGAGATCCACAGGCAGCCTGTGTGGGAGACCCATACCAGAGCAGATAAATGCCTGAGAGGAAGCTGTGAATCCGTGGGAAAGCCCATGTTGCTGCAGGGTCCCGGCAGGACCTATGACCCTGTGAGGGGACCTACACGAGCCTGTCCTTGAAAACTGTGCCCCATGAACAGTGACCCACATTGCAGCAGTTYAGACAACTGTTGCTTATAAGAAGGATTCACACTGGAGAAGCTCATGGAGAACAGTCTCTTGTGGGAGGAACCCCACCACTGGGGCAGGGGAAAGAGGGAAAGACTCCTCCCTGAGCAGCAGCAGGCATAACTTGTGATGAACTGACTATAACCCCATCCCCTATTTCACTGCACTGCTGTAGGGGTAGGAAGTAGAGCTGGAAAGGAAGGAGGAATGGGGAAAGGTGTTTTTAAGGTATGTTTTTACTCGTCATTATCTTGCTCTGATTTTGTTACTGATAAATTCAATTACTGTAATTCCAGCCCGTTTWGCCCATGACAGTATTTGATGAGTGATCTCTCCCAGTTCTTATCTCAACCCATGAACCATATTTTATATTTTCTCTCCCCTGTCCAGCCACACAGAATAGGAGTAAGAGTGGYTTTGGTGGTGCCTGGCATCCAGCCAGGGTTAACCCAGTTCATGTAGTCACTGAACCAAGAAGAGAATTAGGCAGACCGTATCCTGTATAAAACTAGCCATCTTGCAGTCATATTCCCAATAGTGAATGTGTGCATTTTAAGTCTTTTAAATTACATCTGTCAGTTCACATTACCATAACTTTTAAATTAGTTTTGGCATCAGTTACTTCTTCTAGAAGTAGTTTGATGATCAGGCAAGGCAACTTTCCAGACAATCCTGTCRGATCCCTTGGTCCACAGTAGAGGAAAAGAAGAAAGCAGGAAAATGAAGAGACAAGCTTCAGGCACATATGCCCTTCTGGTCCAAAATGAAAGCTGCAGATTTCAAATACAATATAGTGCTTGTATAAGAGTGCTCAGAGTTAATGAAAAAATTCCTCCTGAAAGAAGAGGTAGATGATAACTCTGAAGAGAGAATTTTAAAGAGAGACAGATAAAGGGGCAAGGGGGGGAATTGAGGAGGGGCACACAAAAAGAAACACTGTAACCTGCTCTTAAACGTAAGTGTGGGTTTCCTTCCACTGTTACAGATGTGATAAAACGTCTACCCTGCCTATAAACCATGTTCTGCTTGATGTGTTTTCCAACAAATCTAAAATTTCTATTAAAAAATGGCTGTATTTTTACCACTACTTATCAGAACGATAGTTTCATTGGCAATAGTTACTGATAAATACTGATTCTACTTCAAAAAGTAAGCTTAGCTGAAGGCTCAGAGTAGAATTTAGGTCAAACTTCATCTCTTGCTGAATTGCAGTAAAATTTTAGTCCAAATGTAGTGCATCTTAGTTTGTAACACACAACTGAAATGCTTACAAAGGGTGAGCTGAATGTTGTCATGAGAAAGCATTTGTCTTAGATTCAGTGTCTTGRTAAAAACTTCTCTTCCCCACCTCACCCTTGCCCTTCCATCTGAGAGTAGATTTTTTGGATGTCATGGACTGCAYTATTAAACAGATCTGCCTACTGAATGATGACAAAGTCTTAACTTTTTTTAACTCAAGGTCCCACTAAGACATGCTTAAGTTGAATTAGTTTAACATCCTAATAATCACTGAAAATACCCGTGAAAAGGTAGAGATTATTCTACAGAAACTACTTGATCTCTATCCTTTCTTTTCAGAGGGTCCTATAAAATCCCTCTGCCAGGCTGAAGGTGAGCAGGAAACAATGAACATAGGCAAGTCATTGCTTCAGACAACAGGCAAGACCCCTTCTTGCCCATCTCACCCTCCCCCAGATGCCTTTTTGTACAATAGTTACAGATATGGAAGGTCACACAATGGATGATGAAGGTCCCTCTCCACCAGAGGTGCTATCAAGGCCAGAAAGGCCTACAGCTCATAACAAGACCAGTTCCATGAAGAAAAGAATGGCTGCAGTGGTAGATGGTTCCCTTCTAAAGGGAATGGAAAGTCCAATATGCTAGGACACTCTCCCCAGGAAAGTCTGCTGCACCTCTGGGGTCAGGGTTAAGGACAGGAAATTCCCAAGCCTGGCATAGTGCTCAAACTACTACCCAACTTGCTGATCCTCCATGTGAGTAGTGATGAAGTCACAACGTGTAGTCATTCCAAAGGCCATCAAAAGAGACTTCAAGGCCTTGCAACAAGTGGTGAGTAAAGCAGGGGCACAGGTTATTTTTTCCTTCATTCTTCTGCATGCAGGTAGGGACTGAAACAGATATATTCAGTATACTAGTATGTGACTTTGAGGTTCATGACACTGCCAAAATTTTCATTTGTTTACAGTGGGATGGCTAAGATAGCACCATGCTTGCTGGCATCAGATGGGATGAGAACCATCACCTCTCTCCAAATGATAAGAAGGCCTTTGGTCAAGAGTTAGCAGGAGTCACTGATACAGCTTTAAACTATGTATTACTGCATCATGAAAGAAGGTGGCAAGTCCTATGACTGGAGGGCTGAAATGGAAAGACACAGTCTCTTCAGGAAGGACAGGCAGGGAAGATGAGAAAGAGGTGTCACCCTCTCTGTCAGTGCCCATGTGGAGTGTATGGAGCTCCACCTGGAATGGACAAGGARCGAATGGGTGAGGATTAAAGGGAGGGCAAGCACAGGTAACCTCATAGTGGAGGCCTGCCACAGGCCACTTGAMCAGGAAGTCCTAGCCAATGAAATTCTCCACAGAAGGTACAGCCTCACATTCACATGCCCTGGTCTTCATGGGGGATTCCGACCACTGCAACATCCATGTGGARGACCGGGCATAAGTGCCTTAAGTACGTTTTGCCTCAAACCTTGACTGTTGCAACAGGAAAGTTTTCATTAGAAGAGAGGGTCCTGCAGAGGTGGGGCAAGTCAACGCTGTTCTAAACCGACTTCCTTTTCAGTTGTTAAAATTTCAAGTCTGTCTTGAGATTGATGCTCAGTGCACCCGTGTCAGGAGAAGGGTCAAGACCCAGACCCTTTGCTAAAAGGGGCTCCGGGACACCACAGTCCCCTAATGCTCTCTGTCTCATTTCCTGGAGGGCTCTAAGAAACTGACTGTGCATAGGTGAACGATATAGCGTGAATGACACAAGAAAAATATATTTATATGAGAGCCGTCTACCAGGTAAAGTATAAAAAGAACTGGACTGGAACCCAGCATTTTTTCTCTCTCTGTTGACCCTAGGTTCAGACCATTTACAACAGCAGGACAAATGCAGGATCTAYGGACTGACATTTTTCCTTCTCTTTTCTGCCTATTCTCTCCTGTTTTATCTCAGCAATCATACCCTACCACTTACTCAGTACCTTAGTTTATTGTGAAAACTAGTTTTACAGTTTGTTGTATGTTCTGGGTTGATTGTGCATAATGGTATATTCCCAACGTCTGCTTTATGCACAGGTAAAAAAACAAACAAACAAACAAACAAACAAACAAAACAAAAAACCCCAAACACCCCCTCCTGTAACTGTATCCTAGCTGAGGCTGCTCTGGTGAGAGTTCTTGTTTTGTTTTTCCTTCCCTGATCAAGGACTCTGTGGGGGGAGTAACAGGTTACACATTTTTGCTGGCTTAGCAGCTTGCTTGTAACCCTGCGATGGCTGCAGGACTTCTCCGTGGATTGTAACAGAAAATCTTCCGACTGCTTCTGGGTTCTCTTCTGGAACTGTTTTGACTTTCTTTCTCATCCAAGAACTGGAAGAACTCCCGGGAGTATGGTAGGTGGGAATCCTCCAGGGAGTCACCTAAGCAACTCCACCCAGTCCCTGGGACCCTGGCTCGAGGGGGAAGCTAGTTTTCTGCAGCTAAACAGTGGGCTAATTGTAGCCAGCTTTCTACAGCTAAACAGTGGGCTAATTGCTGGAGTTAAGGTTACTGTATAAACTGATAAGAGCTGCCTGATGTGGATTTTATTCAGATTGACAAGAATTTACAACATCATACCCACTTCCGGGTTGTGACAGCCTGTTGGAGGGGCAGAACAGCAAAATACATGTGATCCAGAAGGTTCATTGATGACAACTTCCCTCCCCACCTGATTAGGGAGTCAAAGACAACAGGCACTAGATTGGACCTTGTTCTCAGCAACAAGGAACTGGCAAAGAATGCAAAGCCCAAGGAAAGTCTGGGCTGCAATGACCRTGAAACAGTGAAGACTGGAACCCTTGAGGCAATGAGGAGAGTGAAAAGCATGATGACTATGCCAGCCTTCAGGAGAKCTGACTTTGGCCTCTTGGAGGATCTCCTTGGTAGAGTATCAAGGGATAGAGCCCTGAGCACAGAGGGCTGGATGATATTCAAGGATTGTCTCTTCAAGATTCAAGAATAATGCATCCTGACAAAGAGGAAA